CTTTCCCATGCAAAGGAAATACCATAACGCATTTACGAGGTACTTGTAGCTTACGTTATCGTAATAGATAAACCAAAGCCAGCAGTGTTTGTAGATACATAAACCTCTATACCAAGTAGATGTGTTTCTATAGAGTCAAAATGAATATTACTGTTAAACCTTATAGTACACATACCTATTTACAAATATATCTTCTTTAGACCGTAAAATAAGTGGATAGAATTATAAAGAGCTCTTGAAGTCAGAAGTTTATACATTTCAGACGCTTTCAATTTCGGGGCTGAAGTATGTATATTAATCAGGAGATCAAAGCCCACATCTTGCTGCTCTTGACCCGTTATGCCTGGCATCTGTACTTGAAGACCATCTTAATGTTGCTTCTCCAATTACTCACCAAATTATGTCGCTTACAAGTCTTGAACACGGTGGAATGCCCGCTGAAACCGAAATCTGCGCTAAATAAAACCTCTCTTGAAGTAGCCAAACATACGATTGCAGTGTGCTTGGTAATTACAGACCTGTATCAATCTCATATGTTTCAAAACTCATTTTGCGCGAGCGACAGATGTGAGGATATCAGAGAAAATCTCCAACAACATGGCTTATTATAACCATCTTCAGTCAGCCTATCGTGCTCACCACTCCCACTGGGGACTGCTCTTATTTAAAGTCTAAATGATCTTCGACTTGGTTTGGACAGCAGCAATATTGGTATCTTAACACCCTTCGATTTTAAGTTCGGCACTTTGACAATTGATCAAGACATGCTCATTCATCGTCTCCAGGTGTGACTTTTACATTGATGGCACTGCTCTCTCTGTAGGAGGTTCAAGTCCTACCTAGTAATTGCCCTCCCACAGTCAGACTATGCATTAGATAGATGGACATCACTCTGCTCCGAGTCCATCTCAAACATGAGTGCGTACCATAGGGATCGGACCTAGGGCCGGTCCTCTTCACTTTAGTATGTTAAAAGTTTGGAAGTGTGATTGCTGAACACACAACATAGATCGATCATCAATGCACGCAGGTGGCACTTTTGGCTATACAAAGTATTTTCCTGCGGACCAAGAACAGTCATGTAGCAAGCGCACTAACGGGCCGTGAGGAATCACTGCTGTGATGACGTTAAATCCTGGATGACCCACAGCAAGCTTAAGCTCAGCAACCTTGCCAGCAAGACGGAGGGCATTCTCCTTGCTCCAAAGAAGCAGAGGTCCAACTGTAAGAGTCAACTCACGCTGGAATTTGGTGAATTTCAGCGTATCACTTTGATCATCAAGTCAAAGGCCTGGGCGTGTTCTTAGATTCAATCTTGTCGCCCGCAGTTCTCATGTATCTCATCTTATTCAAAACCTCTTTCAATGTCACTCCGCAACAGTGGACATATTCGCCAATGTCTTTACAGATGAATCTGCCAAGACTCTTGTATTGTCCTTGTAATGAGTAAAGCTTGATTATTGTAACTGCTATTTACTGGCCGGTGCATCAAAGACCCGATAATAGCCAAGCTACAGAGAGTGCAGAACGTCGCGCGCCCGCATCGTTGACTCGCTCAGGAAAATATGACCCACATTACTCCTACACTGTACACTCTCCACTGGCTTCCAGTCGAGTTCGGATCAAGTTTAAACTCTTACGCCTTGTTTCCGCTGTCTCACTGGAACTGCGTTTTCCCTATCTATCCAACCTTCTAACCGTGTACACGCCGTCCCGATCTCTTCGCTCACAGGATAAGAACTTTGCTTGTTGTACCAAAGTAAAAGACACTGCAGTATGGAAGTAGGTCCTTTGTCATCACGCAGGATCAATGGCCTGGAACATGATCTACCACAGAGTCTCAAGAGACTGTTCTGACTTTCATGCACCTTTAGAAATCCAATCTAAAACACACATGTTCGAGATAGCCTTTCCAACGCGGCTCTTTTGCCTTACTTGCATTTTTATTTATTGCGCTTTGAGGCGTATAAGCATGGATATATGCGCGTTACAAAATATCCTATTATTATTATTATTATTTACGGACGCTTGAATACAGGAGCCCGAACCTTGCCACCATATGCTCTTTCACCAGCTTATTACAAAGAGACCAAAGTCAATGCTACACAGCACAGATCAGCGATATATTTCAAGCGGGTGTTTTGTAAAAAGAGAGGTATTGTTTTCAATAAAATCGTTTGAATCCATCTTTGATAGTTGCCATTCACCCCTTCTCCATGTCTTGCTTTCTGGTCCCTTGATCAGTGTGACTTGAGCTTTGTGGGCTATTATGCTTGGCTAGTGGTATATTTATTATTGTCTACCTGTGTCTACCTGTAATTGTCCACATGCACTTTATTACTTGATGTATATTAGTTCTGTTATAACGCGCAGTTATCTTTTTAATTAATGAATCATACCTTCTAAATCTCACATTTGTACCTGAGACTCACGCTTTCCGGAGGTACTCATGTCACGCCCTCACGACAAAATGATAAACTGGGTTATTATAAAATATAAAATAAAAATCCGTTGAAAATCACACAAGTAGGTCTGAATGCATGGTTTTCAGTCACCCGGGGAGGTGCGTCTTTTTGGACCTCGGCATCTCAAGCTTTTGTCTATGTTAGGATTGGAAGCTCTGCCACCAGAATCAACGGGTACACAAAAGCATGCAGAGACTCCATTCAAAACATGTTGTAGTCCTGCACGTTTGTGTACGCTTTCTAATCCGCGTACGGAGTCATACACCATTGCCTAATTTTCCGAAGAATGAAGCATGTAAAATGTACTATGTAGTATATGTGTGTGAGTGAGTTTTGCTTGGGTGAGTGAATGAGCAAGTGGATGGGTGAGTGAGTGAGTGAGTGAGCGAGGCGAAGTGGGAGCTTTAATTGTGCGTTTACATGTGGTTTTGATATGGTTTCTCAAAGTAGATAATATGTTCACCGTGAATTTCATCTAACAAAGGTCAGATATTTTTTGTAATCATTATGTACAGCAATCCATTTTCGAGTCGCATAATTCACCGTTTCCTGCCATTTACGCAACCCAACACTTTGTACTCACGGTTGACATTCTGTATCAATTGTCAAGTCAGCTATAAGCTTTGTGTTGGCAACATCGTCATCGGTTACGGCTGGCTACCGCCGTGCAGCAACCCTAGCGGTCTACAACAGATTCTAGTATTCTACTTGTAAGGTACGTTTTCACCTCCATTTCATCCCCATATGCCGCATGTCGAAAACGGTTGGTGTCATCACAAACGCATTCAACGAATAGTCTGGTGAGGTGAAATGGGGTTTTAACGTCGATACTTATATATACACTTATATTTAAGCTCTCATATGACGACGTGCATGCGTGTGTATGTGCGGCTGTCTTATTACTAAGCCCAGACTTAAGCTGTTTAATAGTGCTAGGCCACTGTAAGGATACCATGCCGCAGTTAAGCATGAATGCCCAACTCAGACACATTTATACTGACTCGAACCGACCAGTCCTTGTTGTTGTACCATTAATGCCGAGTGCCAGGTAGGGACCAACAAAAATTCTACCATATTTCAACGCCTGTTGGTATGGTGGCGTGGTCATTAAGGTCGAACTTGCGACCTTCCGCTCTCGGGACGGACGCTATAACCACGCACTACACCACGCAGGCGGTCCAAAGTAACTTTCAACAATTTCACCTTTTATGTCAAAGGAATTTGTGTCTGCGAAACTCGACGTTATTTTTGGAGTTGATGTTTTATTCCGAAGTTTTTAATAATAGCCCTCTAAAAGGGTATCCCTCTACAGTTCTAACATTAAGATCAGGACGGGAACATAGAAACATGATCTGACCTCAGAAATTAATATGCCGTCGGAATTAAAAGCAAGTTACGCTCCTGCGGCATCAACTGTAGAAACAGTTGCACACGACTGATAAACTATGGAACTTCAGCGCAAATTTGATGCCCAGTCGATACTATCATCGCAGAAACAAATTACGTTTGTGTTAAAGGAAACATAAGCTGTGAAAATTATATGCATGGATATCTTAGCAAATTGGGGAGTTCAGCGCCAGGTGTTCGCCAAAGGTGTGATGTCCTGCCCTACCGGAAGCACCCGCCATTCACAAAACCTGCCACAACAGTACACCTGTGATCGCAGCCTGGTTTTTATATCATGCCAACTAATCCAGGGGGGAAAGGAACGCTGTATTTTAAACGTTGACATTTACGTTAAAATGTGAATGGAAGACGATGATTTCTAGTTGTCCTTCCTCTTTTGACGTATACCAAGATCCTGCAAAGGGATATCTGGCTTTGACAAATGGTCAGAACTGATATGGGATGTTTATGTACAATAGGAATTGTATGACCGTTTCTTATGTTTTAGTATATATTGGTAATTTAAATGTTTTATTAACACACAATGACATTTAGAAAGTAGTCCAGAGTGAAAAACATTATATATTTGGGATTACACTTTCTCAGTAAATTACAGATTCTAGTACTTTTGTTGGGTTGACTCCGTCTGGGACTCAAAGGTAGGCCGGGGAGCAGTGCCAATGGTACGCTTTCATCAAAAGGGTACGCAGAGCCCGTAGTCTTGACTACCAGTTGTCCGACTTCCAGTTTTTGTGAAACAGCAGTGGCACAGTGGAGTTGACGGATGACTCTGAGAGTGTGGAGTTTCGATATCCCGTAGTGGACTCAACCAAATTAAAAGTACTACAATCTGTACACGTTACTAAAAGGTGTAATCCCAACATGTGTTACATTCAAATGTAATCTTCAATTTATGGAGAGAAATGAAGAATATCTACTAGCTATCTCTCATGAAGAGGCTAACATGATCAGGTTGTCAGGCTCGCAGACTTGGTTTTGACTGTCATCGTATCCCAACAGCGAAGATCGATGTTCACGATGTCAGCCCAGAAGATTGATTATTTACAGACAGCGGTATGTGGTTGTATTGCCAAACAAACGAAGGAACAAGTAACCTTTGAAACTTGTACTCAATGCACAAAACTTCTTTTTTTCGGGGGCAACCTTCTACTGTCAAGATGAAGATCGGCTGTGTCCTTGTGGCGCTTCTCTTCTGTGGACTCATTTCTCAGATTGGTATTGATATTTCTTTATTGTAATCCAAATACTCCAGTTTTAGTCGAGTGTGTTACAATGTAGCTTAATCCATGAGTGGTTGGCATTCAGCTCACAGCGAACAATGGTAGTGTATAATAATATGGTTTGAGTAGATTACATGCCCCGTCTTTCTGCAAATACTCGTACAGTAAAAGAAAAAATGTTTGTTCGTTTTCGCCGCTTTTGACATTATTCCAGCAATATCAGATCGAAAGGATACCAGAAAATGGGCTTCACACATTGTACCCATGTGGGAATCGAACCAGAGACTTTGGTGTGACGAGCGAACGCGCTATAACCACTGGGCTACCACCGTCCCAATTTCTGATAGGGACTGCTGTTAGACTACTCGTATGCATGGTAGGTATAATGTATATTTAAAGATTACAGAAGGAGTTGTTTCCACAAAGCAGGGAGGGTATTTATGTTTCGCTGTTGAGAGAGGTGAAAGGTGACATATTTTTGTTCTTATACAGTATATTCCGTACGTGGTGCCAAGAAGCCGGACAGTTTTTCCAACTGTGCGCCATCGTATTAAATGTTGTTGTCGTTCCTTCAGATGGTGTATGCCGCTGCAGACGGGGATGTCGCTACCACCCAAGACGTCAGTGTAGGGGGATATCAAATAAATGTTACGATGGGTGGTCTGGTGCCTATTGCCAAAGAAGTAAGACACATGATTGTATGTTTGCATCATTTTGTTAAACGACGGTGTAGTGGATATCCAAAGAAATGTTATGATGGGTGGTCCGGGTGCCTATTGCCAAAGAAGTAAGACACATGATTGTATGTTTTCATCATTTTGTTAAACGACGGGGTTTCTTTCACGAAAAGAAACTCATTGTTTAAATGGAAATTTGAAGCATGACGCCACGGTTATAACTATGACTAGGGAGTTTAATGCTTTGTTATATTTCACTGCACATGTATATTGAGCTCAAAACTACAGACGATTTTCGACTGTTAATGCTTCAAATTTCTCCTGGATTAGGGCAAAGTCAATACCGTTACGTTAAGAGTGAGTGAGCGAGTTTAGTTTACGCCTTCATTATTAATATTCCAGCAATATCACGGCGGGGACACCAGAAATGGGCTTCGCCAATTGTAACCATATGGGGAATCGAACCCGGGTCTTCGGCTTGACGAAAGAACTCTTTAACCACTAGTCTACCCCACCGCCCCTTCTATGCTTTTAAACCGATCACATACTTGATAAACGATTGACAGGGCAGTTAGGTATGACCCCGCATCTGCAGAAACAGCCAATGTTATGTGAGCAGCTCAGTAAGGAATTGCCCTGGGATTTGTCAAACAGCCAATGTTATGTGAGCAGCTCAGTAAGGAACTGCCCTGGGATTTGTCAAACAGCCAATGTTATGTGAGCAGCTCAGTAAGGAATTGCCCTGGGATTTGTCAAACAGTCAATATATTATATTATGTGAGCAGCTCAGTACGGAATTGCCCTGGTCAAACAGCCAATGTTATGTGATCAGCTCAATAAGGAAGTGCCCTGGGATTTGTCAAACAGCAAATGTTATGTGAGCAGCTAAGTAAGGAATGTCCTTAGTCAAACAGCAAATGCAAATTTATGTCTTTGTTTTGTCAGCATCATTCCGTCGTCTTGGCACCATATCGGTCTTTCCAGTCAGAAGGAGACATGTCGTGATAAAACCAAAGTAATATAGGCAGTTCAGTGAGACCCTGTATTTGATTCAACAAACGTTGTAAATGGGGCGGTTCAGTAACAAAAAATGACATGTAAACGTTTGCTACAGAAAATGTCGCCTTCGAAGGAAGAAACTGCTCAAGAATGATCATTACTCGGTGATGATGAGTCCTGAAAGTGCTGTGGACGGACACACTAATACAGGCACCACAATGCAATGTGCCATGACAGGGGACGCTAACAACGCATGGTGGAATGTTCTGGCTTTCCAGGAACGGAATCAATCAAATCAAATTCATGAAAATATACAGCGCAGAATACGGTAAGACATGTTTCTTGGCTTAATTTGTCTCGATCACCTGTTGAATTGATTTGCAATAACCCATATATTTTTCACCTCTGTTTTATCTCAGATACGAAATGGAGTCCGTTACGGCGGAAAATCTGGAGTCCCGATCCGCAAAGCGTCCGCAACGTTACCAATCTAAACTCTATAGTTTATCATTGGATTACGAATGTCGTAGAGCTACGATCGTTTTGTGGATCAGGGCCCGATCCACAAAGCGTTCGTAACGTTACAACCTGTCGTACTTTTATAGTTTATCATAGGCTTACGAATGTCGTAACGCTACGAACGTTTTGTGGATCAGGATCCAGGGATGGCTATTCACGTGCGTTGACGTATTTTGGTGTACTTATCTGACCTTATACACCAATAGAATGGGATTGACTTCACTCATCCACCGTCGTGTCATGGTGTGCATGTGTGTATGTAGTTACTTAGTAGCCTCACTGTCAGTTTATTTGCGTAGATCCTGAAAGACGGACGGACCGGAATGGAAATTCTGAGTCCAATGGGAGTCTGTGCTACCAGGTTTCCACCATGGGATATCCCTGAAGTAGTAGAATCCATCGCATGTGCTGAAACCATGGTTGGAGATGTTGTTACCATCCGGGTCCCTGGCTCTCATCTCACGCTGTGTGAGGTGGAGGTCTATGGTAGGTTCACCACATACTGTACATAGTCCAGATCATTGTAACATTAGAGCCTTAGTCCTTAGTATGCGAAAACATACCTTCGACAGTTTCCTTGAAAAAGGTTTAAAATATGCAAAATTGCAGAGAAAACATGCAATTTAATCCTGACCCAAATGTCGCTTTGAAAACAGACCCCCTCCCCCTCCTCCCTCCGACTGACTCCCCAACCCCTCCCAGCACCACCTCCCTCGCGAGAACAACAAGAAGTAACAAAATGGAATAAAGAAAATCGTCATATGATAAGACCACCGACTTGGGCGTGTGGAAAGAATAACCCGGAAGTGTGGTTGACAAGTGTTTTGATTGTGACCTTCAGATGACATATATTGTGTACATTAAGCAACATTAATTAGTAGTGTTACGGTGTGACATTAAAGGTAGAAGAGCCCAATGTACTAATGCCTTTGACGACGTTTCCGCTGTGGGGCCAGGAACACTATTGTTGTGTTAGTCAGTGCCCTATGAAGTTACATTACTATGTGACCTTCGTTTGATCTAAAACGTTACACGGGTTCTTTGTTGATCATCAGAGCTGCCGTGCAAGTACCAGGTGCATCGTGTTTTATTTTACAAGCATCATGTCACATGTGTTCGAAGTGATTAAAGTAAAGACAAAGTTGTTATTTTGATTAGTTTGCGCTGACTACTGGTTTGGGCTGAATTGCGACAAGGAGTGCCACTGTTCAATCCGAGGTGAAATTTGCGATAAAGGAACTGGCGAGTGTGAGAGAGTGGATGTGCTCAAGGGTATAGCGGGACAGACTGTCAGTGAGGTAAGTCTGGTAGCAGTAGCAGCAGTACCAGAAATAGTTTAGGAATAGCAACAGTAGGGATATTTTAGGAATAGAGATAGTGTTAGCCGTTTTAGCAAAATAATTATGCTTTTGTGACGTAAAGAGAACTACTTTAACATTTTCGCAAAGGCATGTGTGCTTCCATATCGAATTAGATAGACAAGCTAGCAGCATTTTTCGATATAAGCCGCATATGAAGTGAGTGTGTCTCCACATCAAATAAATATAAGTGTTAAATTAGCAAACATGACACAAATATTTATGTATATATTTGTATACCAGAACTGTAGAGAATGTGGTAACGCTTACATTTACATTTGTTCAAATATTTGGCTATTTTGAGTGAGGGGTGAATATTGTTTTTCATATTTGCAGGCGCTGTAGATAGGAGACGATGGTACCACATGCTTTCCTTGCCCACAACAATAGCAATTGCTACAACACAGTTAACGATATGTTTTTGTAAAGGAGATAACTGTATCACAATAAACCTTTAGTTCATCAGCGTGACTGTTGAAGCTATTTGACTGTTAGTGGAATATTTGTTGTGAAATAGCACAATTGTTACATTGAAAAGACATTCTCGTGGATTTTTTCCTTCTCACTCAGATATTCTAAATCTTGTCACAGATTTCTTTCTCCAAGTTTCAAAATCCCAATTTGAAGGCCTAACTATCAATATTGCAAAATATTCTAGGAGTAATATGTTTTTAAACGGAAATATAGTCAATGTCAAAATATAGTTGCCTATGTTGTGATGGACTTGTTTCCATGAATATACTCAAAGTATAGTCAACAAAGGAGCACACAGGGGAAATATTGTTTTCTACTTTTTGATTATTTACTATTCTCTTTATTCCTTGAAAGACAGTAACCCATACTTTCAGATTATTACTTTAAATAATTTGAACAACGGATACATAAATAAAGGCAGTGTTGTGGCCGTTGCAATGTGCTGCCAAATTATCTCAATTACTGACCCGGTTAGGTTCAATTCAACATGGTCTTATTGATGCGGGATGGCTATACACTTCAATGTTTCGAGTGGATAAGTTCCTGTGTATCAGTGGAATAGTCAATTCCCCTAAAAGAATAATGCCAAACTTTACCAAGTGCAGCATAATACATGTTCTTGATGACATCATATACGTGCCCGTGTTGACTCGGACACAGGGGACAGAGGCCTAGTCAATACTGACGCCGGCATTCAGAATATCTATGAATATTCAACTCTAATATTCAACTCATATTACTCATTCGTCGAACAGGTGAAGTATCATTGACGTTTGACAGGGTGACAGGTAACAGATTTATAGATGTGTCGAATTCTTGCAGCAAAATGCATTTACCACTTCTAGTGATTATCATCGATCAACCCCTATACTGTTTGTAATGGGTATAATCAAATATTTTGTTACATGGATAGCACACAGCTGCATGTTCTCAACTACTCTCTGGGCTATTCGTATTGAGAGCAAAAAGCTTTTTCTACTTTTACTGCTTTGGTAAATCCTAAACATAATCGGGGCGAATCGGAATTCGAGTACACGGATGTTCTTTTTAAGCATGCTAAAGGGACGCAACGCTGCTCAGCGAATTGTCTTAAAAGAACGTTAACGTTACCAGTGCCACGTGATACCAACATATCTCAACTGAGGTGTGACAGAAAGTATAAAAAATACAGCTCAGGAAAGAGCAAATTATGTCCTAGTTAACCGCGTCACTCATTTCCGAACTTGTGGCTGGATTAGTAAAGTATAAAAGACATTGGTTCAATTAGGACTTGGCTAAAGACTAAATTTGCAACAACATCACCCTACAAATGGGTCAAAACGGGCCTTAGATCCTATCAGCTGTTGTGTATTATCCGATTATATCTTTTCATCCATAACATTATAAATCAAAACCTCGTATTAAAAAGTAAAAATGCGATATTATACCAAAATTTGATATCTGCTGATTTAAGATAGTTTTATTTGAAAATGAAGCACATGACAAAATCGACAGAGAGGTATACTTTCTCTTGCCCTTTCACTCAGCATCAGCGAACGTGAATCCCACAGTCCCACATTCTATGACAGTCATTCATATCTGCTCATGATAAAGCTCGAAATGACAAAGGCATAATCATCATTCTCCCTTCACTGGACAAATATCACATGCACGATTTTCACCCCGCCATATTGGATTGTTGAGGTCTCATGTACGTGATGTTGATAAAATATTCTGTATCCTAATATTGTGTATGGAAACGTATCAGTGCCATCGTCTAAAACATTTTCATCTTCTCAGAAGCTACATCAATGTAGAATATATTAACATCCACATTGGTGACACTTACTTCTACGTAGGATGTATTAACATCTCAGTAGGTGATCCTTCACTTCTACCTTGACGAAATAGTAGTTAAACAACCAGTAATCAACAATAGTTCTGTTGTTTTGTATGTATGTATGTATGTATGTATGTATGTATGTATGTATGTATGTATGTATGTATGTATGTATGTATGTATGTATGTATGTATGTATGTATGTATGTATGTATGTGTATGTGTGTGTGTGTGTGTGTGTGTGTGTGTGTGTGTATGCATGTATGTACATGTATGTATGCCTGTCTGTCTGTCTGTATGTATGTATGTATGTATGTATGTATGTATGTATGTATGTATGTATGTGTATGTCTGTCTGTCTGTCTGTATCTGTATGTCTGTCTGTATGTATGTATGTATGCATGCATGCATGTGTATGTATGTATGTAATAATGTATGTATGTATGTCTCATCTCTCTCTCATTCTCTCTCTCTCCCTCTCTCTCTCTCTCTCTCTCTCTCTCTCTGTATTAATAGATGTAAGTTTAGATGAAGTAAGTATAGATGATGGATAATGGTTTGACTGTGGCTCTAATACACTTCCAAAGTGAAATACTCTGAAAAGATATAACGCGAATATTTGAAAGAAATACTCTTGGTGTCCGAACTGATGTAAAGTCAGTCTCAGTGTCGATTAAAACAGTTAGGAAATACATAATATACCTTTTTCCTAGACTAACAGCTAGTCTCTAAAATGTACATATTCTACAGAAAATACAAGCTAATAAATGAAAATTATAAATACTATAAAAAAGGAGCCCAGGGACTTTCCAGCTGTGGAAATCTAGACTTGCCACATTTTTAGACGATTGCGTATGTTTTCTTGGATATATACTAAACATCATTGAAAACGCACCAGTCTAAAATTGTCCATATTTTCATCTAGATGGATTTCAGCATGACAATGATCAATGAATATAACTAACATGAAGTCGAAGGGGCATGTCCAGTTGTAAAAATGCTTTAGAATGCTTTCCTGTCCACAGTATGACTCTTAATTCGAAAATGCATTAAAATGCAGCCACGCCATGAAAAGTCGCGAATTTCATTCTGAAATCATACTGACTGTGACATTAAGTAGGTGTATGAGAGCCGATTTTCATTGCTTCACTAACGATTATGAAACGAGGGACACAGATGCCGAGGGTTAACACCTCACGATAGAGAACGTGCACTAGGCACCAGCAGCAGGGATATTGCTCGACAACTTGGAATTGGCCCACTCCAGCATCGTTAGGCTTCATAGACGACGTCAGTAGACAGGCAGCACCCGTGACCTTCAATGACTTTGGCAGCAACGTGTTACGACGCTCCATCAGGATCGCCATATTGACCTTTTCCATATCAGTGATTGAACACTGCCGACTGCTAGGACTGCTGCACTAGTTCAAGGTTGACGTGGGGGTCATCAGCACTGACTCCATGCGACGCCGTCTACACGCTACAGGGCTCCATGCTCGGCGTCCTTACGTTGGACCAATTCTGACTGACAGACACCGTAATGAGCGTATACAATGGGCTAGCCAGGCATTTTCAGTAAAGGTTACAACAATGGCATGGTGTGGTACTCACTGACGAGTCACGTCTTCATCTACGTAATGCTGTCGGCCGATTACGTGTTTGGCGTGGACGTGGTGAACGTTATGCTGATGAGTGTGTGTGGTTCAGAACCAGACCTTTGGGTGGTGGAAGAGTCATGGTCTGGGGTGGAATAAATTACAGTCACAGGACTGTCTTCATGTCTGTCAAGGGAGAGTTAATACCCTTTATTACAGTGAGCAGATTCTTCAGAATCATCGTATTTGTCTTCAATCACCGCCAAGATGTCCATACTTTTCAACAGGACAACGCACGGGCACACACAACAAGACTTTCCATGCAGTATCTGGCCCAAGCACACATCCAGGTTATTCATTGGCCAGCACAGTCGCCAGATGTATCCCCATGGAGCACTTGGTCAAATTCTTTCGCGGTGACAACAGATGCGAAACATCCGGGAACTTGAGGCTGCACTACTGCAGAAGTGGAATGTCATCCTCCAAGAACTCTATTCGGACGCTTATTGACTCAATGAGGAGACGTTGAACTGCATGTGTCAATGCGAATGGCGGTCACACGCGATATTGACTTTTCAATTTGACCCACGTGTGTTGATCCTTTCTAACTGTGGAACATTTCAATGAATGAGCGTCTTTTTCTGTGTTGTTGTTTTATCAGTCGTCCATCTGTTATTATCCACTAAAAAGTATCAATTCCTTACACGTGCTTTTAATAATCTGAACTTTTATAGGTGGTGCGTTTTCAATGATGTTCTGTATATTTGCTTCAGGGTCTGTACGGCAAACTAACCTTTTCCTAATCCTGTATCATTGCGACCTTCTTGTTCAAATTCAGTATTAGGGTGCTTCGTTCATAATTAATAGATGTATCAAGGAACGTGGTTCAATAAACATTTGGACAGGACGTGCCATTTTGGATAACCAAGAGGGACAAAGTCGTATTAAAGCTACCATATTCACATGAAGCAACATCCTGCATTGCGCTTGCGGTCCACTAGCAAAGAACAATTGATGAATGTATGACTCTTGCTCTTTCCGTGTTCTGCAGTGAAGGAGTGTACCAAAGGAGGTCACAATGACGTCACGAGCGTACCAAAGGGAGGTCACAATGACATCACGAGTGTACCAAAGGAGTCACAATGACATCACGAGTGTACCAAGGTCACAATGACTTCGCGAGTGGAGCAAAGGAGGTCACAACGACATCACGGGTGGAGTAAAGGAAGTCACAACGACATCACGAGTGGAGCAAAGGAGGTCATAATGACATTGCCAGTGGAGTAAGGAGGTCACAATGACATCACGAGGTGGAGCAAAGGAGGTCACAACGACAATCCTCTAGTTATTCTGCACAGTGGACTCCTCAGCACAGCTTGATCCCGCCAAGTCGCTTAGAGAACAGTGGTTTAGTGTAGAAGAATTCCCAAGTGGTGGCTCTGATCGTATGTAGTGATAGCCATACTCTATCTTGGACCGTTGCTCGTACGTATTTCCATTGCTCAGCACAGGCTCATGATTTTCAAGAAAAATAACATTCTCTTACTCTTTTGAATCCACCCGTCCTCATCCAATGG